GGGAGGTGTTTGAGGAACAACATGGACTTTGGAACCTGAAGCTCTGGGTGAGTCTCAGCTGGTTACTCACAGTGTTGACCTTGGGGAATTCACTTAACTTCATTGACCTTTGTTTTCTTCATCTGCAGAATGGGGATAATAATAGCACCGTCCACAGAAGATAATTTTGTGGATCAAGGAAGTTAACACAAGTTATGTGACAACAAAGAAACGTTCCTTCTTATTTGCAACATGAGACTAGGCGGGGTTGGTCAGCAGAGAGGCAGATAAAGATTTCTTTCAGCTGGGCCAGGAGTGGGAGCATAAAAACAAACTTCCTAGATGTGTTATGTTCTGAAGATAGATTGACACCTACATATCTCAATTTTCCTTCCCATTCCTTTCTGAGTTGGTTATTGAGGGAGTAAAAGTAATAGAAGAAGATACTTAGGTCTCCTTCAGCTTATGCCTGCCTCCCTGTCCCCTCACCTGCTTATGCCTCTGAGGAATATTGGGAAAATACAGAAGGCAATCTAATGACAACGGTGGAACAAAGAGTCCCTCCCCTGCAGCCAGAAGATCCAAAATTGACCTGTGCCCCCTGACTGTGTGTTTGCCGTCTTTGTAGAGGCCCTGCAGGACTGCAGGTGAGAGGCCAGTGACTTTCTCCCTTGCTGGCCCTCAGCTCTCTCGAGCCAGGTTCTAAGGCTTGGAAGGTCTCCTAGACCAGTCTTTGGGCTGAAGGTGGGGTGGACTCAGTGACCTGACAGCACTGAGACAGGGCCAGTGGCCTGCTGCCATTGGCTCCAGACCTTCTCTTCCATTGTTTGGGCTGCATCTCCTGGGTTTATGGCTCCCTCCCCATCATCTGCTAACCTAATTCCCAGATCCTGGAGCTAGATGTGAGACCTGGACCTGTCAGTCTGGAGTGGGTGGGCAGGCCAAGGGAAGAGGGAAGGCTGGCTCATCTGCATTCTGGGAATTTTTTTTTTTTTCCATACTAGGGTTTGAATTCAGGGCCTCATACTTCCTAGGCAGGTGCTGTACCACTTGAGCCATTCTGCCAGCTTTTTTTGTGTTGGGTATTTTTGAGACAGGGTCTCATGACCTATTTGCCCAGGCTGGCCTCAAATCATGATCCTCCCCTCTGCCTCCCAAGTAGCCAGAGTATCAGGTGTGGGCCATGGTCATCCAGCTTTCTGGGAATATTTTGATCTTTTTGCGGCTCTGCTTCTGTCTGACCAGAGGTAAGTCCTCCTCCTTGCACCGCCCCCAATCCCGGCAGGTGCTTGCCCCTCCTGCGGGGTTCTTGCCAAGGTCTCAATACTCCAGACTGAAGCATGTGATTTGACATCTGGAAAAATGCTTAAGGCTGGCCTCCTGCCTGCTTCCATTCTACTTGTCTGATTCTTGGGGGAATGCTGAGAGGAAGAAGTCTTTAGTGGAGAAATTATGAGACTTAAGAGTCTGGAGGCCTTGGTTTGAATTACTGTATTGTCACATGCTCTGAGCCTCACTTTTCTGGCAGTAGTATCTACCTCCTTTTGACTGGCAGTGAAAACATGGATGTGAAGGTACAAAGCCTCACAAGGAAGTAACCATGATGCAAGGGTGGACCTCATAAAAGCATCTTGATCACTTCATTAAAGAACAATTTTGAATACCAGATATTTCAGGGGAATTATTGAACCCTCATGACCACCAAATAAAATAAGAGAAATGGAGCTTCCTTTAACTGCCCAAGTTCTCATGCCAGTAAAATGGCAGGAGCCAGACTTTGGATTAGTCTATTCCAGAGTACCTCCCTTCTTCAGGGAGCCACCACAGGGAGCCTAGGAGGGAAGGGCCTGTCTGAGGCAGGACTGCCTGCTGGTTTCTGCATGCTGCACACTTTTTTTCCTGAAGGACAAGGTTGTGGATGCATGAAGTTGGAACTAGTGGGTGAAGTCTGAGTCCTAGAGAGGGTGCAGGAAAAGTCCATGTGGCCTATTTAGAAGTAGAGGTATCTTGGGAACTGGAAAGCAGAGAGCACCCCTAGGGGTAAGCCCTACTTTGAGTCCTGGAAACTAGATCACAGACATTGTATACCCAAGTGTTACTCTTCCCTTATTCTTTATCCTCATGTTCCAAACCTGTATCTTCTATACCAGTGGTGAAACACCCTTTGTATTTTTTGTCATTTATTCAACAAGCATTTATCAAGCATCCTTCAGCCCAGGCAGTATGCTAGGCCCTGGAGCAAGGGAGATGAATCAAACCCTGCACTGGTCCTTGGCTTCTTGACTGTCCAGTGAAGCCAGACAAGCAACCAAACAAACAAGCATTAAGTGTGGAAAAGGCTGAGAGGTAAACATGGACTGGGAGGGGACATAGAGGAGTGGTTCACCCTGGAGGCAGTGATACTGAGTTGAATCCTGAAGATACTTGGCTAGGTATAGAGGAAAGAAGTGTTCAGCCAGAGTTGGGCAGAGAGGTCTGTGGCTGCATGGTTGTGAGCCCAGGTGCTGGAGCTTGCACTTTGGTCATGTCAGTTAACTTCTTCTGAGTTTCAGTGTTCCCCTCAGTAAAATGGGATGAACACCTCTTGCATCAGAGGTTTGTCATGAAGACTGACTTAATACAAGTTCTTAAAAGCTTTGGGTAGGGTGGAATGTGCCTGGTGAAGGATGAGGCTGGAAGTAGTCTTATGAAAGACCTCCCTTCCAAGCTATGCTAAAGAGAGAAAAGACAGGGAGACACTGAAGGCTTTACTCCCTCCTAACTCCATGAAGGATGGTGGCCTCTTTCCCCTCCTCCTCTCACAGTTTATGTTCTTTCCTTTTATCATTATTCTCTCCTTCCCTTTACCATCCAATTCTAAGCACTGGTCAATTTAGGCTGGCAGAAATCTGTGGCCTAGCATCCCAATCTCAATGAGATATGCAAGCAGGATGCTTTCCCAGCAGGAGGGGTTTATTCAGTCCTTTCCCAGCTTCCTGACCTGGGTTACTGAGGAAAGTCAGTCAGTCAGCCTGTCACCTTATTTCCCCTGGCCTAAATGAGTTGTCTCCTTTAGTAGCCATTATTTGGGCAGGGTTTCCTCAGGGCTGTGCCCTTCCATACCCTTCAACAGCCTGGCCCAAAGTCTTATAGAACACTAAGGATGGCCATTGCCAGCAGAATAAAATGCAAATTCTTTAGGCTTCTCCTAATTTAATACCCACCATGAACATCACATCTTCTGCTCTGGATTCTTTTTCTCTACTGGGAATTACATTTCCCTAGTACTGGCTTGTCATGTACTAAAAAACAACAAAAAACTCAACCACAAAACCATCTTTATTGAGATATAATTCATATACCATAACAATCACCCTTTCAGTGGTTGTAATTCAGTGGTTTCTTATATTCAAATTGTACAACTATTGTTACTAAGTCCAGAACATTTTCATCACTTCCACCCCCACCCCCCACTTACTCTGGCAATCATTAATCTGTGTTCAGTCTCTATGCATTTGCCTATTCTGGACATTTTTGCATAAATGAAATCATGCAGCATACGGTCTTTTTGTGCCTGGCTTCACCACCTACTCTTAATGAATCTTTACAACAATCTTGAGACAGACATTTCTGCTAGCTTATGTTGGGGAGCTTCATTTTCCTTGATCTGGTAGTAGCCATTAGCTCAAGGAAGCTGACAAGCTCCAAAACTGTTAAGAGACCAACTCCTCCCTATGCAATAGGGCAAAAAGTGTGGGGGTGGGTAAGCTAACAGGGGTTTGGTCAATTCTCTTGGCATGACCACTCTGTCATGATGGGTATGATGAACAACAAAAACTAACACTCAGCAAACATTACTTAAAAGTACTTTTTTATTTAACTTTAATTTCTGAGGTAAAATACTTTTTTCTTTCAACTTCCATAACAAAATACAGAGCTATCAGATACCCCTGGAAAAAAATATGTATATTATACATATATTTCTATAACATTACATCATATATATAATATATATGCAAAAATTTGAAGACTTTATAGAAAGCGGAACATCTAAAAGGCACTGCACAATGGAGTTAAGATTACTTACATTTTATGTACATATACACACTTTATTCTGCTTATGCGGATAACAAGTGAAGTCATCTTTCACATGTGAATGTCTTATTCACAAATCCCTGCATCACAATTTTATAACTCAAAAGAAGCCTAAATATTTCAAAACAATTAACTGGGAACTTGTTTTACTTAAGAAGAAACTAAAAATGCAACAGTTCTTGAAAGACTAAATCAAAGTTTTCTTTTAAACCACATAAAAGTAAATGCTCCATTACTGTTTATAAAACAAAAAAGCACAAACATAATTGTGGAATAAATAAAAAACAAGGGACAAACAGCAAACTGACTCTACCCATTTGGTTGGAAGTGTTATACTTCAACCTTTTTTTTTTTTTTTTTTTAATGCTTCTCGAAGTTTCTTGGCCCATAGGTCACTAGGGTGCAACAATTCCCTGTATTAGTGAGCTGGGTTTAATGCAGTAGAGCTTGACAACCAGGGTGAAGGGGACCCAGTATCTGTTTACATTTTACTCCTACCTATTCTTCAGAAAAGGTGAGTTCAGCAATGCTGGATGCCCTTAAGAGATCTTTACAGTTTTCTATAGCTAAAAAAGCAAACTTTTTACATGAACAAGTTCTTGATTAATGCAATTTCAATAGATTTATATCTGTAAAGTTCTAAACGTTTGGCACAGCAAATTTTGGAAATAGGGGGAGAAGTAGGTCTGGTTTTTGTCCCCCCCTTTTTTCCAACTGCTGTTGGACAGTGATGAGATGCTCATGGAAGGGAAGGGTCTGGCTGGTAGCAGGTGCTGCCAGGAGTGGGCTGGGGGGGGGGGAGGTGGAAAGGGGGGAGAGGAGAGAAAAAATCCTTTGCTACAGGAAATATCAATGACCTGTATATTCCCTGGTCTACTTCCTGAGCAAGCCCAAGTTTGGCTCTGTATAGGGAAAACCCCTCCCCCAAACCCAACCCCAGTGTGCAGTGCAAATCAACAATTACTGGTGGAATGGCAATCAAAGGAAACAATTAAAACACCAAACGATTTCTTAAAGCCAAAAACATTTTTCATGGAGTTGAACATTTTTTCGCGTGTGTTTTCAAGTGTAAAAGCAGTGACTTTTTGTTCAAACAGAAGCAGCATCTAGGAATTAATTCTGGCACTTGGGTTATAGGGGTTACAGGTATGCATTATGGATTTGTCTCCCTCTTATGTGAAGGCCCCATGTTTCTATTCCTGAGTTCATACCGACACCTGCCGGCCCTCCCCTCTAGCAGACAATGGGTGGCCAGCTGGCCTCCCTGGTTATTAGATCAGGCAATGCCAAGCAGAGAGCCTTCTTCCACCTGCTGGGCTTGCTTTCTGATTCAGAGGTAAGTCAAGGTGCAGAGAAGGAAATCTGACAAAAACGCGACCACAAAGGCAGCATGATGAAAGCCTGAGTCATTAGGGACCTCTCGCTAAGTCCCTTTCCTGGGGAAAGATGAGTCACTCATGGAATTTGGATCAAGCAAGAAAAGAACTTGTCAAGAAACAGCATGATGGACTCAAGTCATCCCAGGGCATCTATTGTCTCTCTCACCTGCTCTAACCTTTCCTGAGCCCTCTCTGGTGCATGTACTCCAGTTTAAAAAAAGAAAAAATACCCCTACAACTAAAGACAACCCTCAAATGTTATTTAGTATAGAGTCAGGAATCTCCAACTCCTGGACACTACCCCCCATGCCACCCTGGCCCTCAACAGATGTAGTTATTTCTTCTTCCTGTTGCCCTGTTGCTAGGTGGATCTGAGCCATAGCCAGGAGTTAACCTACATAGGTACATATGCACACATACACAGAAGATATTGGCTGCTGCTGCTTTTTCTCTGTCCCTAGTTCTAGTGTTTTGCGTCACATAAGATCAATCCCTTCCCATTCCTTTGAAGTTGCTAAAAGGGAATTTCCCACAAAGAAATAATTGCTATCTATAAATGGGAGTCTCATGCAGGACAGTTAACTGATCAGGGGATTCAGAACAATCTGGGCAAATGGGGATGGCAAGAATGGCAACACCACAACAGGACAGATATCAACTCTTTCCCTCATACCAGGCCTTTTGGCATCTAGTTGCCTTCTTTGTCTTCTTTCTACTACTTCCTTCAGTTTCAACAAACATCCACGTGTTCACCCAGCTACCTTCTGTGTTTCCAGGTATCATCTGTCCTTAACTCCCACAATCCTGCCTTTTTGCTACCCACCCCAACAACATCAAGAGGGAATGACAATCAGCTAGAAGTTTAACCATGTCTCAACATTCCTGGGTTATCTGAAGTGTCCATGCCCTTTACAGGTTTATGTTGACAGACCCGTATCATCTTAAAGTATGGTTCATAGTTAAGGCTCGACTTAAGAAAATGATAAAGAGAACCAGACACAATGGAAAGACATTTTCAACAATGCTGTCATGCCTCTCAGTGAACTTGCTCACAGTCACACTTTGGTTTGGCTTTCCAAACCCACAATGGAAAAAAGAAAAAATGAAGTTTGTTGTTTCATTTGTTTTGTTTTTAAAGGCATTGGGTTACTTCCTCCTGCCCTCTTCTTTCTTCCCTGAACAAGAGTTTATAACTCCTCATGGCTTCTTAGTAGGTGAAATAGGTGAAAAGTCCAAGGAGCTTGCAGCTGGACTTGCTTCCTGCCTCAACCCTGCATCTGAGAGGGGCCAGCTCCTGCACCCTCCCAGCCCTACTGTAACTGGCAGTATGCTCATGTGTTCTGAAAACATTTTTTTAAAAAGAAAAGGAAAAAAAAATGCCAGAGAATAACAGAAAAAAGGACAGAAGAAAAAGAACATCTGAACATACCCACCCCAGTAAGACTGAGATTATCTTTTCTTTCCCTGAAATAATTAAAAGAAATATTTCAGGCAAAATATTTAGTACTAATGGTCTCCCACTGCTGAACCTCCCAGCCACAATCTATTCCCTTTTATGTATCTCTCAGAGCAAAATAAACTCATTAATGGCTTTCCACATATAAATACAATAGAAAAGAAAGACCTCTGGAACCTGAACTGTCATGGGACCAGAAAGTACCTGGTCCCTTTAGGAGTTTCCTTGTCAGGAAGTGTGAGCCTCAAATGGGAAACAGGCTCCTTCCCCTTTCAGTTCAATACTCTCCCTGTGTCTTACTCACCAGGAAAAAAAGTGTGTTTACATCCCACCTAATTTACAACAGAAGATACCCATCCCATCCCCAACAGAAAAGTACAAGTCTATGCCCCAGAATGATCAAACCAGTCTAACTCCCTCCCCCCTCCCCCCAAAATCTTGCTACATAAATACATGTATGTATTTGATTATAATATAAACAGCTCCCATAGCACTTGCAGTTCTAAGCATCGGCGGCTGCTGCGAGGCCCCGGGGTCCTGCCCCATTCCAGAGGAACTTGCCAGTCTTACTAAGCTCCCGGGCTTCAGGGTCATCATTCCAGCGCCGCTTCAACCGAAGTTTTGGGGGCATCAGGGCATCTTCTTTCTTCTCAGGTGCACTGGGCTCTTTGCCAGACCTGTCCTCACTGTCTTCAGTCACCTCTAGGGGTTCTTCACTTGGGGTGCTAATGGGTATAGAGGGCCAGGTGGGTGGGGCAGTGGGGCGGGCAAAGATGGTGCCTTTCTCTTCTTCCATGGTCCTGCTTGGCACAGTGCCCTCTTCTTGACAGTGCTCCTCCTCCTCTCGGACCAACTGCTTGAGGCTCTCGGGATCCTTCTCAGAGGTGGGCTCCACCTTAATTTGTGGAGTAATAGAAGCCAAGGTGGGTGCAGGAACAGGTGTGGACTCCTCACTACTCTCCATTCTCTCCCGGTTCTTCCGTCCAATGGGTGGGGGCTGCAGCTTGATAGAAAACTGAGTAGGCTCTTCAGGATGCATTTGGCATTGCAGTGGTGGAACCATGAGCCCTGGGTACCGGGGAAAAGTCCGAGGACTCAGATGATAGTTGAACACAGAACAGGCCTGAGAATGAAGGTAGTGTTTCATTTCCTCTGGGTTGAAGGAGAAGCAACTGCTGCTGGTGAAGGGGCTCAGGCCTGGTGAGGGGCTATAGGAGAAGATGGTGGGAGTCAGGGAGAGGGCTGGTGAAATGGGGACATTTAGGACACCTCCACGGCTAGGGATTGGAGAGACAGCGAAGGGGCTGTGGGGGTCAGGGTACATCCCTGGCCTAGTGAACAGAGGAAGCATTATGTCAGGCTTGCGTTTCTGGTGGCCAATCCCGCCTCCACTGACAGCATTCCGGGAGGACACGAGATCCACGCCCCGGCGCCAGTCAGCAGCTGAGCCATCCTCCAGCTCTGAAAGCTCCACCTTTCTATCAGTGCCATTATTTGACTCCTGGGCAGAAGCACTCAGGGAGCTAGCAGAGAACCTCCCTGGCTGCACATCACCAGGTGGAGAATGGGCATCCAAAGGTGGGAAATGGAACCGGGAAGAGGCTGTTGGCACTGGTGGTGCACTCTGAGGAACCACACCTGTGATGGTAGAAAAGACAAAAGGCTGCATTGGCCATCTGGTCATTTACTATCATCACTTAGGCTAGGTAAGTACACAATGTTTAGTGGTAACAAGAAATAAACACTCCAACTGGACTGAATCATATACTTCTCTGTCTTCTTACAAATTACTGCTCAGGCTGAGTGTGGTGGTGCATACCTGTAATCCCAGTACATATGGATCATGAATTTGAGGCCAGACTGGGCTTCATAATGAGACTCTGTCTCAAAAAACCAAAGCAAACAAACAAAAACTACTCAGTTCATTCTGTTCAATTTAGTTGCTATCTTTTTCTAGCCTCTTATATTACTGTCTTCAGAGTACTCCTTACTATCTGCAACTATTTACTTGTTTTATCAATATTATAATTTCTCAAGGCAGGGGCTTCCTGTTGTTCAAAACTACATTCCTAGCAATTAGCAGGGGCCCAATAAATATTAGGTGGGTGAGTGAATGAGTACAAGAGCCTTCCTTCTCTTTTGCAACTCTAAATACTGTGTATATACCACCTGTCTCAACTTTCAGCTTTGCAAACAGTTTTCTCTTGTTTCCTTAATTTTGGCCATATGTATAAAGTAAGCAAATCTAAGCTAAACACAAACAAAACTGAAAATAGCATGCATATAAAGCAATGCATTGAAAATCCAAAGACTGAACCTCACACAGAAGGACATAGAAAAGATCATAATTAACTTAAGTTCTTATGGTGTATCTTTATTTTTGATACATAATCATTAATTTATGGATCAAGTACTTTTCAATCTCTTCATTGATACTTCTCTCTCCTGATAAGTCCTATATAATGATCTCTCTATATAGTGATCTTCACTCCCATTCAAACATTGAGGAGGCTAGGAGAAAATCCAGGACCTACTACTCCTTTTCCCAAGTTTGACTGCTAAATTTGAAACTCTAAGCAGAAACTATCATGTACTAACCATACCAACTTGAAAAGTTCACAAGTTCCCAACTTCTCCCAAAGGCCCTACATACGGCCTGAGGAAAGGTTTGCCACTGAGGCCAGAGGGACTGTGTAGGTTCCTGGAGGTGCCAGTGGCTTCTATCATAATGATATTTGAAGGTTTCTTTACACTCTGAGGGAGAGGGAAAAGAGAAGGAAAAAAGCAAGACCAAAAAAAACAAAACAAAAACAGAACAAAAAAACCCCTACAATCAATGAAAGTATGGTAGTCTTAGAGAGGAAACAACAACAACAACAACAACAAAAGTACATGAGCTAAAGTGTGGTTAGGAATTGCTCCTCAATTAGCTGAACCCTTCTACTCTTGGTCTAATAGTCATTCTCAGATTTGAGTCTGGGCTTTCTAGGTGCATGTGACTGAGTGACACCGTGCCAAAGGAGCATTTCCTGAACTAATGTTCCACAGAAAACTTCACTGCAGAACTTTTAAAAAAGGCCCCTGATTTAATCTTAATTAAGAAAAACAGACAGATGATCTTGCATATGATTTGGATAAGAGTTAAAAGAATCCCAGCCCAAAACTATCTCTTTTTTCATCTTATTACAGTGACTAAAATTCTATCCTTTTAGATTCTTTTGGCTCTTTCTATTAAGAGTATATATAGTTAAAAGCAAGAGAAAAGAACAACAAAAAAAACCCCCAAAACTTATATGGGCTGGGTGCCCCACTTTTATGTTGTATGTTGAGATGTCAAATCTAATACTCTGTTTGAAAAAAAAAAAAGTTTGGTGCTAAAAAAGTGTAAATAGTATTGTTCTGAAAGAAGATCACTTCCATGAAGCCATCACGAGATTCAAATAGTAGAGCTGGAAAACCTGGGTCTGAAGCTCAGTTCTGGCATTTTCTACTTTGTAATTAACTAGTATAAGTAACAAACTGGAGTTTTTGATCTCCCTCTGGAAAAACTGGAAATAATAGTCTTTGCCTAGGTTCAAACCCTGGTCCTAGTTGTGTGCCTCTGGACAATCTACTTCTCGATGCCTCAGTTTTCTTACCTATAAAATAGATAGTAATAGGACCAATTCTAATGTTTTGAGAATTAAGAGTTAACATTTTGTAAAGCTCTTAGGACAGTACCAGTGCATAGCAAATTGCATGTTGTTAAAATTATTTATTAGGTGATATTATAGTTTAAAAAAATCAAAACTTAGAAAAGAATCTATCATTCAAGTAGGGAACATATGTGAGAAAATAGGATTAGAGCTATGTTAAACTTCCTGGGTGTGGTAAGGTTATCGTGGTTATGGAAAGGAGTGTCCTTGTTCCTGGGAGATACATGCTGAAGTACATAGGGGTGAAGTGCCATCATGTCTGCAACTTAATCTCAAAAGATTTAAAAAGTACATATAAATAGAAAGAGATAAAGCCAATGTGGCAATAATGTTAACCATTTAGTGAGTCTAGATAAAAGATTTATGGGTGTTCACTGTTCTTAATCCAATTTTTCTGTAGGTTTGAAGTTTTCCAAATTAAAAATAAAAAACTAGGATGGGGGTAGGTGGGCGTAGGAAGGGTGTAGAATGAGAGGTTTCATATTTATCCCTGAACTAGTGTATCCTACCCCTATCTGCTGATATGTAACCCTTTTTGCTAGTATCTTCTGTATTGTTTCTACTATTTCTTATGAAAATTCAAGTAAGTATTAATTAGTGATAAAAATAATACTATATATATAGAAGCACTTTTTTTGTGGTACTGGGGTTTGAACTCAGGGCCTCAGGCTTACTAGGCAGGATCTCTGCCATTTGAGCCACTTCACTAGCCTTTTTTTTTAATGTGTCAGGTATTTTTGAGGTAGGGTCTTACTTTTTCCCCTGGGCTAGTCTTGAACCATGATCCTCCTGACCTCTGCCCTCCTGAGTAGCTAGGATTATGGGCATGAGCCACTGGCACCCGGCTCTTTCTTTTTCCTTTCTTTTTTGAGACAGGGTCTCACTATTTAGCCCAGTCTGGCCTCAAATACAATCCTTCAGCCTCAGCCTCCTACATGATGGGATTACAGGTGTATATCGGCACATATGGCTTGTAGAAGTACTTCAACACTATTAGGTTGTGTCTTTTCTTGTGGTAGTAGGGTTGAACTCAGGGCATGCTTGCTAGGTTAAGTGCCCCCAGTCCTTAACACTATCCAAATGTTAAGTGTTCTACCCTAAACTGTTCAGTGAGTAGAACTGAGGAGAAAGGAAAAAAGAATACCCCTTTCCTCAATAACTTTTGTATTACTTGATTATATTACAATCAGCCATGCATTGCCTTTCTTTTTAAAAATATGGAAACCAAGGGTTGGCAGAGTGGCTCAAGTAGCAGAACACAGCCCTGAATAGTTCCACCTATTCAAAAAGCCCCCCAAAACAAACAAACAAAAAACCAAAAAACTAGACAGCAACCAATCATCTGTAGCAGGAGCTCTTTGGTCTCTAAGATCTAAATTCACATAGCTCTACTTTTTAGAGCACTTACTACATTTCACATTGTATTAAACCTAGGATATCTTATCTCTCCAGCTAAATTCTAAATTCCTTGAGGGAAGGAACTCTCCATAATCTTTATCTTTTTTCTTTTTTTTGTCTTCAGGGGTTAACACATTATCTGTTGAACAAATAAATGAATCCTGATTGAGGGGAGGAATGTCTGATCTATTAAATCAGAGCAACATTTCAATAGCTCAATCTTTCAGGAACTGTTTCCTGAGAAACTGTTCAACAGATTACCATTCAACCTACCCTGGTCAGTCTTTGACTTTGCTGTCCTCATCCTTATTGTCATCTGTAAAATGTGAATACTAAGACACACACTTGACCAGGGTATAAGGGTAGGATGAGATAATTCACCAAACCACTAGGTAAAGCACCTTGACTAAGTATATGTCTAATAAATAATACATTCCTTTGCCATCATAAAGTTTACCTTAAACACTTTGCCTATGTGGGTAAAAGTTCAACACAAATGAATGACTGGTTCCTTGGAGTCATTTGTACTTACTATGTGAGCAATGAAATCATATACCTAAAAGAAAGGTATACTATTTAGTTTTCCCTGTGACTTTTTTTTTTGGTGCTGAGGCTTGGAATCCAGGGCCTTCCGCATGCTAGCAAGTGCTCTTCTGATTTATATTCCAGTCCCTCCCTGTAACTTCTTGATTAGGATCTTGAGGTTGTTAAGGATCATTGTTGATTCAACTGCTTTAGGGTATAACAGGTGTGTGAGACCACTACTGCTAGGTTTCTAGAACAGATCCTTATTGTCTTATTCTGGACAAAATAAAAGTCTCTATTTCCTTGTCCTGGAAAACCATATTACTCCCAGGGGCTGATGGATACCCTATTTCAGTTTATCCAAGTGGCTGTACTTCAGAGTTTTCAGTTACCAAAAAAGGATCAAAGAACAAGACCAATGAAGCATTTTTGGGATTGTGGTGGTGGTGAACATGAATACATTCTTCAAAATTGTTGGTATGCTCACTAAAGGCCTAATTCTTTTAGGCACACAGGGAAGAGGTAAGAATGAGAAATAGAGGAAACAATATTCCAGTGGCTAGAACAGGTCTGATTTCCTAATGCCGCTCCCTCAGGCACAAGGAAAGAAAACAGGTTGTAATTAGAGAGATGCATTCCAATACCACTTTTTTTTTTTTTTTAAATGCATGCCCCAGGGACAGGAGGGAGTGGTTACAGAGAGATGGAACTGTAATGATAGCAGAGTCAAGCTGAAACTGCCCTAACTTGTTGTGTATAGTAATTATATATCTGCAATGGATTTTAGCATTATATTCTCTTGGACACACCCCCACTCTAATTTTTCAAGTTTCTTCCAACTTTTCTCTGAGAAGTTATATTATTTCAGAATCATGATCAATTTTGTTTTAAAATATGTAAGGCCACAAAAACACAACAATGATGATCTGGCCAAAATAATTAAATATAATCTATTTTCTTGAGCAAGGGGGATAGTTTTCATATCAACTCCCTTCCCCTCAACAAACACACCTACTGAAAACACTGCCTTTAGCATCAAGAGAGGAGCTGCGATGGAAAGCTGTCACTTACAGAATCTAGAGGGGAAGCCCTGCTACACTTAAAAGGAGAGAAGTAACCCCAGAGTCTTGTTTTCTGAAGAGTTGTTGGTGCAGATCAAAGACGCTGCCTTTCACTGCAAACATGCGAACCTCCCCTTCTCTGATCAAGGATGCTGTGGTTTTGATGATATTCACTTGATAAGAGAGAGCTTGGTAGTTTCATAGAAAATCGGAAGTGTTTGTAGAAACAGGTTCACATCCATAAAAGAGGTATTGGGTAGGGTGTTAAAAGTTAGTCCTGAACTTAAAAATCAACACAAACCTATGGAACACCATTCCCAAATAAGATAGTTTGTAAATAATATGCAGAAAAGGGAGTTTAAAAAAAAAAACAAACTCATCTATCTTGATACTGCACAGCCTATTACTCCCCTTAGGAGAGTTCTCCCGACTTGAAGAACACTGAGATAATTGAAGGGATCACATTACTTCAGTTTTTCTAAATTCCCTTAAACATGCCATGTCTTAGACTTGGGTTTTTAAAATTCTTTTTAATTCAAAATTCACTCTCAACCAAAGCAGTTTGCATCTTACCACTTGACCGAATGTTGATGAATGGGTAGTTGGGCATCACCAGCTTATTGAAGTTAAATTTATAAGTAAATCGTTTCCCTTTTGTTTTATGAAGGATCCTCTTGTTGTAATAGTATCTGTAAAAACAGGAACATGTCATTTTATCTTCTAGCTACTGACAGCTTTTGATATATGTAGGTAATTACTAAGACCAACAATTCTTGCTCTAAAAGTTACTCACAAACAACACTATTGCTCTTTTGTAGCTTAGTTCTTAGGTTAGGCAAGAACACTGAAAAACGTACTTTTCTCATTCAATTTTCAGGTAAGCGCTAGTCTTTGGCTCAAAGTTTACAAAGACATCCTTACTATAAGATCCTAAACACCCACTCTAGCTCTAACCACTTCTCTGCCTCTCTACAACTTCAATTCTGTAGTCCACTTCCTTCCTGCTCTACTCTAAGTTGCTAACTGCCTAGTTTCTTTCTGTTTTGCCCAGGTGGGGTCCAACAAGTCTTCTGGGAGATTTGATGTGGTTAGTCTGGAGGCCTAAGAGTCCAAGGCACAAAGGAATGAGACCTGCTTTACGGTGGCTAGTGAGACAAGGGCATATACTGATCTGGAAAACAGCAGCCACCTTGGCCTACTTTACTGTCAAGACTAAAAGGGATGTGGGAGGCTTCAGCAAAGCCACTGCACAGATTTTACATTCAGGATATTAAGAATGAATGAAGAAAGTCAGGGAACTTCAATGTACCTGGAACCTTTAACTTGGATTCTATTAAATAGCACAGGTCATAAACTGCCTCCTGGCTCCCTAAAAGCCAAAGGATTAAGAAATTTAAAAACTGACAAAGTGAAGAGAATCTGAGAGAATTTATGGTGATCAATCTTTAGACATGCTAGAACAACCTATGGACTGAAAACTGAGCCCACAAATATAATTCCTAAGTATCTCTGTCAGTACTTAAGTAGCTCTTGCTGTCACTCAGCAAGCCCTCCTCCTCTGCTTGTTTTACCCTTTTCTAGCTTCTTCTAGGAGAGCCCAAGTAAGAGAAATTCCAATTGATTCCCAACAAGGAAGTCTAAACTAATCCTTTGGGCTATAAATGAGCTCCAATCCCTGTTTCACTATACACTCTCACCCACTACAAAGCAGAATCAGCAGTCTGTCAGGATCCAGTGCCAGCCACATTGGAATTCCCTCCTACATATAACCAAAGATATGCTTTTTCTCCTCCTGTGCCTGTGCTACTCGGATTTAACTCCTCTTCAACTCCCACTTCAAAGCTACACATTATTCACTAAGATAGTGTAGTCACTTATCACCTGATACCCCTTTTATCTAACACTCACCAAACTGCGTGGTCTCCTTCCAATCTGTTAACACCACAAATTTGGGAATCCTTTCTCTTACCTGAGGGCCCGGCTCAGCTTGTCATAATTCATCTGTGGTTTGCATTTCCTGCGGCCCCAGAGGCGGGCCACCTCATCTGGATCCTTGATGACAAACTCCCCGTACTCTCCCTGCTGCCAGGCAATGACATGGCGGAACTCTTCCTTCTGCAGCAGCTCCAGGATGAAGTGCCACAGCTGGATCTGCCGGGAGCCTGGGGATGACTCTGTTTTGTAAGCCCAGTCAGGAAACTGATACCCTTTAATGTGAAAAGGGCAAGATCAAAGTAGTCAGGAGCTAGGTACATACATACCAGCATCCCAACTTCACATTCCACTGTTCAAAATCTCTAGAGTGCTTTACAAACATGCCACAAACATCCCTCCAGTCAGCTGGGGCTAATAACAACAGAGGAGAGGAAAGGACAGAGAAATTACCTATCCTTGTGGCAATCACTGAATCTGATAAGGTTGGGCAGCAGCACCCAGGTGTCCTAATCTCTTACGCTTTCATATGTTACCAAATCTCACACCTGCTTTCTACGAGGGTATGAAGGTTCCAAAAGGAACAACCAGGAAAGGTAAACTAATGTTTTAGGAAAGTACAGCTGAAAATTCTTTACCCCACAGGTTGGAGTTACATCTCAAACAGGAAAGAGATGCTAAAACTTGGGATTAAAGTGTGCTGACCAGGCATGTTAAATAATGTTCATAGGAAACAAGCCTACAACCATCCTACCAAGATCCACCCAGTCAAGAGCTGTCAATCATGGTCTAGCATTTGTGAACAAACCCCAAGAAAAGAGAACAGGAACCACCAAGGGACATTCCAGGAACATCAGAGATGATTAACTTCTACTCACCTCCACCTCCTTCTGGCTTTTCCACGATGCTACAGCCTGCTTTCATTTTCGCCCTCCTGCTGAGAGACACAAGCCACACAATTACTTTGAGATACTATGTATTATCCTCCTAAGATTTTCTGGCTTAGTCTTTCCCCAAACTTCCTTTTCTCTATTTTTCCTTCCTTATACAATGCTCTGTCTTTCAAACATGTCACCTGCAAACTGCTAATCCTCAAGTCATCAAATGATGGTCCTCAGGTCATCAGCTTCAAAGCCATAATTATCTCTCACCTGACTTTAAACCACAAAGTGTAAACACTGTCCTTAATATTTGCTTTCTTCCTCCTGACCAACCCTTCAAACGTTTAAAAAAAAAAAAGGTTACAGTAAAACGGATCCAAAAAGGCAGCCAAAACAAGCAAAACAGTTTGTCTTCTATTACTAGACAAGCCCAGATGCCAAGATACACAAGCCTGAGTTCACCCAGATGTACCAGTTTAAAGGGTGAAAAAAATCCAAATCCATTTGATTCCCACTCAAGAATGAACATGTGATTTTGATTTATTTTACTGAATTATGTGAGATGGGAGAAAGAAAAGCCTTCCAGTCAGAAACTGCCCACTCCCCCTGGAAAAACACTCTGGGATACAGGAAATAAACACAACATATGTATAGTCACTCTGTATAAAACACACACTGACACTCTTAACAGTATTTTGAAGAAAAATTATGTTAACCCTTTAATGGGGGGGAGTGGCAAGCATTTCTGGGGCCAATGAGTGGAGGGTGTCTTGCCCTCATCTGAATTCATTCCATCCAGATTTATAGTTCTTTAATAAATTTCCTGTTCCTATCAACAAGCAGCTTTATGTCAGTCAGTCCTTCAGCAAAAAGGGGGGAAGGGTGAACTGCCAGAGGGAAATGGGGGCAGGAGAGGGCAGATCTACCCTTATTGTTCCCCAGGGTGGATGACAGGCCCTCAGCACCCACACTAGCAGGAGTCTGGAGGGAATGTAAAGACCTCAGTGGCCCCAGGGTGAGGTGGGGATAAATTCCTCATCTTGGAAATTTCATGGACCCTAGGATTCCTCTAGAATCTTTGAACTTTCTTTCTCAACATACACATTAAGGAGACCAGTAAGTTTCTGTCTATAAAACTAGCAGGGGCTGAGGAGGAGATAAATAGCCCAAAGGAAGGAGAAAACAGACACAGACACACACGAGATCTACAACAAGGCACCAGGGGCTGAGGCAGGACCTTCCTCTCCCATTTCCGTGACAATGAGGGAGGAAAAACACTAATTTCCTCTCGGCTCCAGGGGGCTGCCCTGCACTCCCACTCCTACATTGCTCTGCAGTATCGTGGAACCTCTGCCCCTTCAACCGGCAGGACTGGGGGGTCCAAACCTCCACTGTAACGATGAACCGACCTGAAGCCCTCTCTCAATACAACGCATCCCCAATTTTCCCCATAAAGGCCCCGCTCTCTGGAGCCTGGAGGCGCCTCTGCAGGCTTTTCACCAATTCACTCCGAGAACATTCTGTCCAAGTAGGGTCGCTCGACTCAGCTCTGCAAACCCCAGCCCCTTGCCCCATCTCAGATCGCGACCACTCCCCGAAGAGTTAACCATGCACAGTCGGGTCCTGCGGAGGTCCGCAGAGCGCGCGGTCCCGGCTCCCACCGCCCCCAGAGCCTCCGTTCCTCTCGCCTCCCGGCTGGGCCTCCGGACGCAGTGTCCGCGGGGACACCTCACGAATGCTGCCCGGGGTCCTGTCGCCCCTCAGACGCGGGCCCCCTCCTCCCTTGCCCTGGTTGAGGCCCGGTTGGGATGGCACAGCCGGGAGGGCGACACCGACCCCAGAGACGCCGATCCTGCCGGGGACCAGGGGGCTGGTTGCGAGGGGCACGGCAGCCGCGACCGGGCCAGGACTCACCTCTCCCCGGTACGGTCCGTCTTGGGTCCGGTCTCCTCCGCGGCGTCTCCGGCTCCTCCTCATCCACCCCAGCAGGAAGTGACCTCCTCGGCTGCTTTCGTCACTTCCATCCTCACAGAGAGGGAGGGGGAGGAGGCGGCGCCCTCCCGCCGGCTCCAGACCTTGTCGCGCCGCACCCAGCCGCGTCTCCTTTTCTTTTCTCCTTTCCGCAGACGCCAACTTCCGCCCGCACTCCGCCCCTGCGCGCACCTCCCGCCGAACGTCCCGCGCCTCCGCCCGGTGCGCCGCGTGCGTCACGCTGCGGGAGCACGTTACGCACGCTCGCGGCGGTTGGCGCGGCCGGGCCTGGCTGCTTGGAGCTGGTCGGCGGTAGTCTCCGGAGTGATGCGTAGTGGTGCGGGGTTGTGCGGTAGGGCCTTGCGCCGGGCCTACCTGCCGCGGGAAGGGACCTCGCAGACCCCACAGAAGGGCCCGGGCTCGGGGTAAAGTCTCCGCGCACCGAGGAGAGGAGACCACCTTTCCCCAGAAAAGGACGCTCACAGTGGGAAGGAGGGCCCGCAGGCTCAGGCATCAGACACTCTTCTCTCTGCCCTAAGAAAGGGCCCTTTCATACTCATTTGAAAGCAGCCACGGAGCCTGGGTGAAGTTCTGGCATTGCCTCCTTGTAATGAGCAGGGAGTATGACCGCTTCCTCCCTTGGCCATGTCATTCAGCAGATAGTCTTTGCCCCATCCTAGCAGCTTGCAAGTCTTTTCCTTAATTCATTCACACATCTCCCCTTTCCTTTACCCTTTGTTTTTGCTTGAGCAATTCCAAATAGCTTGTGCAAAGCTTAGCTTATTTTTTTCTTCCTTCACGGCTTCATAAGAAGGAATTTCAACTTTATGTCCAACGCCTATCCCTTAAATCCAAGTGGTGTCCAGGCCTAGTTTGACTCCGGAGGCAGAGAGTGGGGAATTAATAAATGTGAAGATGAGAGGTGGGATGAATTGAAGATCGGTTTTAATCAAATCAAAACTTTGTTTTGTACCATTGCCCTAATAGCACCTTTCCATTTTATCTGTCACAAAGAACATAGAAATATTATCATTAGTAGTGAAAGTTTTGGACATGCTACCTTACCTTATATGTTTAAAAAAGAAGGGATTATAGCATTGGTGATGTCAGGTCTTTTCTACTTAAGAAGTTCTAGTATATAGATGAATAAAGTGAGCAAAATTTAAGTGCCAGAGGCACTTACCAATATCTGCAGAGGCTTACCAATATCTGCAAGTAGACCGTGAGTTCTTTGTAAGAATCGTCTATATATTTTCTACTGCATCATACCTAGAACAATGAAAAATACCCAGAGGTTTGATTGAACAAACCCAAAACATCTGGGATTTAGTTAAAAGATGGAGATTGTATTTAGGTCCTCAAGTCTTGAACTTCTAGCTTTTTATGTTGGTTGTTACTTAATCTCTCTGTTTCAGTTCCTCATCTGTCTAAAGGTAATATATTTCCAGTCTATTTGTGGACACCTACAGATGTCTATAGGTATTTCATTGTATATTAGATAATATAGGTATCATCGTATTAGATACGTTATACACATAGAGTGCTTAAGAGAAAATGGCACATTGTAAATATGGCAGATGAATAAATGGCAGAAATAATCACAAGAATCATTATAAGAATCCCAAGTTCTCCTACCCTGGAAATCTTAGTAATTGTGTCACCTCAGAAATCGGGGTGATCAGGAATGAGCAGTTTCATCAGGAAGTCTGAAATTGCTAATCTATTAGCTCATGGCCCAAATGGTCATGGTTAGAGCCAGCACTGTCAACTTCAAGGACCTTGTGTTTTACAAAGGGCCAGGATCAGAGTATAAAGACTGCATGTATTTGACTCACCTCAGACTCCTATTGGTTCTTTGCTGCTGGTCCTCTGGCTAATTGGGGTCACAAAGGATGATTTGAGTAAACAGCAGAGATAAGTAGGTCTCTGTACTTGGCTGGAGTCTGCATTGATGCATTGAGAAATGTTTAGATCCTAGAAGAACTCAACAGAGTTTTTACACTGAGAATCTTATCACTGCTCTGAAACTCAAAAGGTAAATTTGGGCTTGATAAATCAAACAATCATGTCCCCAACACTGAGTGGGTCTGGGTAGATGAACTGTGCACTGGGAACCTCTCCTGGTTCCCAGTCTCCTGGGGAGACTGGGATGGCTGGGGACTTCTTGCCCAGTATACCATCATCTCCTTCACTATAGCACTGCTGCCTTCTGCATCTGCTGCAAACAGGCTTTTTCACTCTGAAGATTCTTTGTGCTCCTGAAATGGAGAGTGCACGCACCTTCTGAAAGCATGGGGGTGGAAACCCTGAGGGCACAGCCTAGGAGTCGGACAGGCTGTAATCTCTCTTGAGTTTCTGCTTGCTCAGAGCCCTCTTTGTCCACTGACACTATCCTCCTACCCCTTCTCACTCTTCAGTATAATTGTTCCACATGTCCAGGACAAGTTTCTGTTCTAAACCACACACTCTCAACTCCACTCTCACTGCAATACAGCTACTCTACTTTTTTTTTTTTTGTGATCCTCCTGAAGTGCTGGGATTACAGGCATGAACCATCATGCCTGGCTTTTCCTACAGCTTCTTAAATTAAATAAAATAAATAAAAGAGGGACTCTTAAAATGTATTTTTCTTCCAAAAACATTTCCTGAATTTCTCTTTTTCTATCCTTCCAGTTGTACTTCTTTATTGCTTCCGTTTTCATTTACACGCCTAGGTTTTCCACACCCAAAACCTACCCGGACACATATATGATATAAATGCTTTCCTGTCTGCTCTTGTATTAGTTAGCCATTCTTTATCATCTGTGTGTCATGTACATATTTGTTCTTCCTAGTGTGTTTGTTTTAGGTTGCAGGCCCTCAGAGATTAGAGACAGTCTGCACAGTGTCCTAAGCAGTTCTTTGCCACCATTTGGAGTGCCTAATTATGATAATTTCCTTCTCTGCTGTCCTGTGCTGAGTTGCTGATGGATGAGGCTGGCTTCTTCTCTCTCCCTCTGTCCCCAGTAAGTTTCCCAGGAAAAGGCAGGTAGCCTCTTTCCCCCAAAGTTTGTTCTTTTTGTATTTTGGATTTAGAAGACCTAAGTTTCAGTTATAGGTCTGCCCTTTGCTGACTCTGTTCTCTGACAGGCCACTAACTTTCTCTGAGTTTCAGCCTCCTCCTATCTAAAAGGGGACATTATTGATGTCCTTGATGAGGACAGAGTGTAATAGCTACCGTGGAGCGCTTGTAAACTATGAAACCCTTTGCAAAGGTCAAGGATTGTGATTACTCTTGCTACCATCCTAGACTCCACGTTGTTCTTGGTATCAAGAACTCAAACTTGACAGCAGTTACCACATAATTTCACAAACTTTGAATAGATTCAGTGTTTCAAATTTGGGTTGGAATCTAGTGAGAAAAGAATTTTGTTTTGAGAATTAGGGCTTTTGGGTTTCTCATTTAGGCATTAGTTTAGAAGGTTTAGTTTTTAATCATCCTGCTCAGTTTCTCCATCCATAAAATGACCATGACAAGAATTTCCAGGAAGAAAAAATACTATAACATTAATACATTATTGACATTTATGAAGCCAAAGACTGAAGGATGGATGTGAAATTGACTTATTTATACTGTTTGTGGCTTGGTGTCCCCTTCAGTAAATTTAAGATAAGTTATAAAAGAATAAACTTTGACTAGATACTATTTGCATTTTACCACATTGGGCTACATTAGCTTGTAAAGTCTTATGTTTTGGTTTATTTTTCCCATCAACCTAAAGTTGTTGTGAGGATAGAGGAATTAATGTCAGTAACATGATTGGGGATCCCCAGACTAAAGGTTAAGTGAGTCCAAAGCAGAAGTAACTTTGCTCAAAGTTACGGCTCAACCAGAAAGAGCTGAGAGCTTGGCTATTTATTTAGCAATGATTTGGGGACTCAAGGACTCTCCGGGATTCCACGTCCATCACAGTCCACAAATACCCTTGCCTCTCATTTCCCGTTTTTAGGTCTTGGTTCCCCCCTCTCAGATCAGCACAGTAGAGAAGGTAGTGAGAGATCACGAAGAAGCAGAATGGGAAAACAGAATCAATAGGAGGAAATGACCACTTACGCTATTTTAGCTTTTTTTTTTTCCTAGCATCCCTGGAGAAAGAGTCCCCTAACCAAATGTTGGATTGCCACAATTTATAACTTCTTCCCAGAAGCCTGCTGAAGCTATATGGAGCAGAGTGCTAGCTTCTAGTCTTAACATATCTAGGATGTGTTTTCCAAGACCTGGCATTTGCTCCCTGCTCTTACAATATCTGAAACCTTGACCTGCTTACTACATAAATCTTTTTACTTTCTTTTGTATTTATTCACTATTCATATCCGGATCTCACTGCATTCTCTTTATGACTGTCCATGTCATTTGTCATCCTTAAAGGGCAGAGGCTGTGTCTACTTCTCATTATATAATGGCCAATAAAAAATGATAGTCACTGTAATAGAGACATGTAGATCATAGTCTAACAAATGCCAGTAATGGTTGTAGTGAACCTACTACATTGAGGTCTCCCATCAAGTTAATTAAAAAAGTATCACCTTCATACTGTGGAAGAGCTTTGCTGTAATAGTTGCTTCTGTATGTATGGAATTGCAAGATCTTAGAGATGAATGAACATCAGAGGTCATATCTTCTCCTCTCATTCAGTGCCATCAGCTTCTCTTTGAATGCTTACAATAATGGGGAATTCACAACTTTGCCTTACAACCAAGTCTATGTTTTTTCATTGTAAAATATATCTTCAAAAGAGTATATGAAAATGTATGTAGATCAATTGAAAAACCACAAAAAATCAAACATGCTAAGTACCCACCATGAGGCAAAGAATAGAAATTGATGTAATACTTTAGAAATCTTCATTGACCATGTTCTATGTTTAGATCACCCTAAATGTTGTAGAAAGTGCTTCCTTGAGCTCCATGTAAGAAGCTCCAATATTTTCCTAGATACTTCTAACCACGACTCCTAGTTCTGGGCACTAGGACTGTGCTATTAAATTTAATGTTTCTTCCATGTGATACCTATCGACTATTTGAAGACAAGTATAATATCAGAGTTGCCAAAAGAAACATCCTCAGTTCTTTCTGTTTTCAAATGTGATTTCCATCACGGAACCCAGTCCTCCACAGACCTGGCCTGACTAGCTAGGTACAGAGTGAAACTGTTCCCTCCTTGAATTGGATGCTTTT